CCCCGTGTCAGCGCAAACAAAATGGCAAATATAATTTAGCATTTAGCTTATGCAGAGATAATGGGGCGAACACGCGCCGGCAAACATGGCCGCGAACAAACAGGCTGGCAGCCTTGTTATCCGTCAAGTGGGGAGGGGGTGGTGGGGGGTGGAGAAGGATGCCGTGCGGGAATTGAATTATGGAGGGGACAAGTTCTCTGGAGTTATCTGCGCGCGCTGCCGCAGAACGGCTTTCACGCCGCACTTTTCTGCTTTCTTGTTGGAAGTCTTGCACGGTATCAACTCAACTTTATTCGTTGTCGCCTCAGTCTTGAGTTGTGAACTACCCCGTACGTCGGAAGACTTGAAAAACTGTCATCAGCACCACCACCACCACCATGGAATTTTTTCCCCCCCCATCATGCTCAGTTGAGTTATAGGCTTGGAGGTTAGCGTGTGTCCTCAGGGATTAGGTTGAGGTTCTGGTTGGGTGTGGTTTAGGGAGGGTCGGGTTCGAGTTAAGGGTTTAAGGGTTCGGGTTTGTGGTTAGATTTGTACATCAAGGCTCCCTTCTTTGAGTTTGGTGCCGAACAATTCTTTTGGTTGGACGTTCTCGTGGGCGTGCCACCCTCAGACACGCTCCACAATCTTGTTGAAAGTCTTCTCAGAAAAGTGAAAGCTCCCAAAACAAATGCATGTTTTTGAACTTGCTGTCGATGAAATGACCGAGTTGCTCATCTTCCTTTTTCCGGATTCTCGTTCCACCTGATGCCACGTCCCGCGTGGCCTTTCACACATCAGAGCCATCGCGTTTCACATCGAAGCAGCGGTGCATTCTGGGATGCGTCCTGTTTCCGGAGGCCGAGCGCAGGATAGACTCATGGAGAAATATGGCATTGTTTTCAACAAGTTCTCCTCGGTGAGAAGAATTCATCGTTATTAGCGCCGTGCGAACGGTCGCTAAGTACACAGGCACTATTATTGCAGTACTTCCCCATGCAGCCTCTCATTATGGGCTGTAATTACACTTGGGTCGGACCCTGCGGCGCTTCCATCAATCCAACAACCCCCCCCTCCCTCTTTTTTTTTGACCGGCGGGCGCCCGAGCCCGCCGCAAACAACACGCCGCGCTTGTTTCCTCATCCGCCGTCCGCGCGCAGCAACGCAATCCTATCCTATTAGAGTGACGGCCTAATTGAAACATGTTTATTTATGGCCGCTGCTTTGGGACGAGGCGCGGCCGTTAGCGGCGCGGGCGAAACGGGCTCCGGCGTTATGAGGCGGGCGGAATTGAATTAAAAGCTCATAAAATGAAATATGCGGCGTATTAGCTGTTTGACACTTAATTTGCCTTCAAATGAGCAGAGGAAATCACAAATTAACTGTCCTTTGTTTTTCAGCTCCCTCCTCGAATCCCTTTCCTTACCTCTCTCCTCTCCGCCGCTATTAGGAAACGGGGGTGGGGGGGCGCAATTACAGACACGGGCTAATCGTTTACTTTATGAATTTCTGAAGGGGGGTAGGTAACAATATGCCATTGAATATTAAAGCCCAAGGCTTGGAAGGGGTAGTGGGTGGTGGGGGGGGGAGTAGAGTTTGGTGCTCACCTCGGTGTGTCGCTGCCGTGGTTAGAAAAGCCGAACTGAACTGAAGCGTATCACTTTTTTGGGGGCGCCAAAGGCAGACTGTTAGGGAGGTGAAGCGGAGCGTAGCAGCCTCCCGTGAAAAACGTGGCGTTCCAGAGCGCAGATGCGTTTTCAAACAACCGGCAGCTTCCTTCTAAAATAAACATGTTAACAACCGAAGAGTCGAGCCATTCCGCGGGGGCTCCCGATGCTGCATGTCTTCGCCTTTGTGCCGGAGGCGAGGGGGTCCTCCGGCCCGGGGCGCTCCTTTTATTGCCCGACGGCCAAGCTTCGGCGCCGTCACCTAGCGACCGCTAGCAACAATCGCATCTATTCGTACGGAGTCAATGGTCGGCATCGGTGCTCAGTCAGCTGTGGGGTGGGAAAGGGAGGGGGGGGGACCTCGGACCCTTGTTGTGAGGACAGCAACAACAAAAGCTTCTTATTGACTGAGCTGCCTTTTGACCCATTGTGGATTTAGGAGATGATTACTCCAAATGAGTCAATTAAAAAGCAGGGTCTTCTCAAACCCGGGGACCCTGAGCTGAAGCTTGGGGGTCTACGAAATGATTTGTTGTCTTTTTTTTTTTTTTTTTAAAGCGTACATCATCAATCAATTCATTCTTACCTTTGCTTTGGGCCGATTCAAAGTTATAACTGTGATGTATGATCACATAAACCTGACATTCTGGTAACTATTCGTATTTAAAGAAAAAAAAAATTGAAGAAGAAAATGTGTGTTATTGTGAAATGAAGTCAGATTGTTTTTTGAGAATTGTTGGGGTGGGGGGTGGAGAATATAGTTTTGCGGAGAGTAAAGATGCCTTTAAAAAAATTCACTTGTTCAAATCTGATTTTCTTCCCTTGTTCAACTTTGACGTTGAAATCATCATATTGCGACTTCAGCTTTATTTTCGGCCCTCTTTTACGTATATTGTACGAATTTCGTTAGCCTAATGTCATATTTGAACATTTTTGGAAAAACAGAAAGCATTAACATTAGTAATTTTGTATTTATTTGATAACCAAAATGGACCTGCGCAGTACAACTATTAGGCCAAGAATTTATCATGTCACCATTTTTTTATTCTCGAAAATAGTCAACTTATGACTCTGTATGCCATTCCGGGTGACATGCGCCAGTCGTGATTAATTGCTGTTAGGATTATGACAAGAACAGAACAAATTTGCCCTGGACCCGAAAACTTTGAGAAGCCCTGAGCCTAAGACCTTGAAATGCAAATATATTTCACAGACAGCGAATTTGAACCATGTTGGGCATTTTGAAGGAGAAAAAAAAAAAAAAACACGTTTTGCTGCGATGGTGTCCGAAAAAGGAAGTTATTTTCTACATGTCTGGATCGTGAGGGTGTGTGCTGCTTATTTCATTCGGGAGTGCGTGTTTGTTCAGCTGCGGAAGGGTTTCATGCATGCGAATGAGAGTAAGGAAACTTTTTTTTTTTTTTAACCTTGCAGTTTTATTTATACAGTATAGCAATTTTTAAAACACGCAACAGTTACTATGCGCGTCAGAAAAACCCACACATGCGAAATTGCGGCGGATATGTTGACAAAGCAGACAAGGCGACCCTCTGAAGGAAAAAGTTTGGACTCCCATGTTATCGAGATGAAAGCAGAGCTAAGCTAAGCTAAAAGTAGTATTTTACCGCTAATCCTAAAATGATCTGAACTACAATTGCTTTGTGTGGTTATTTTTCCCCCAGCGCAGGTGGTTGGTTCGGAACCACATTTGTAAGCCGCTGCGTCATCAATATCACTCTGAATGTTATGAATCATAACCGCTAACGCTTAAACTATGCTAATACCGTTCCCTAGGATTGCTTGAAGGCTGCCTGAGTGGCACGGTTGTCAAGAACCTCGGAATTAGCATCAAATCTACATTCCACCAAGTTTTGGTGCTAACTCTCACACACTATGTCCTCTGTTGTGTTTTTTTTCCAAGGATGCTCGCTCTGTTTTGTTATTTACATAAACTGTTGTCAGAGCGCCCAATCTGAGCAT